TTTTATTTTGTTTATTTAGGTTTTTGTTTTTGTTGTTAATGTGGTGCTGAGTATTGAATCCAATGCCTCATGCATGCTAGGCAAGTGCTCTACCACTGAGCCACAACCCCAGCCCAAGAGCTACTTTTTTTTTTTTTTAAAGACCAGGTGTACTAACATGTCATTGGTCATTGAATTAAACAAGTGAACTTCCTGTTATTGAAAGTAGTCATATAAAAACTTGGCATTTCCTAAGAAAGCTGTAGTACCAAAAAAAAACGAATAAGGAAAACGTAGAAAATCTCTAAAGTCTTATCTGACTATATTCTACTATATCCCTCGAATGCACTGTCATCCTGCTAAAGCCAGTGGGATTTCAGTTTTTTGATTACTGGAGATGTGTTCTCCGATGTCCACTCCTTATCCCATCATTCGAATGTTTGACCCTGCTCTAAGCCCTTTCTGTTTCAATTTTTTGCCTAAGACTTTCCATAGTCCTGTGCCCTGGTGTCAGATGGCTTGAGTCTGAATTCCAGTTCCACTATTGACCACACATTTGAATTACAGAACTTTACGTAGATTGATTAAGTCTCATTTGCTTTATCTGTTGAAAGCATATAATGAAAACACCCCTTTCAAATGGTTGTTCTAAGTCTTCAATGGTGCTATCCACATACACTGATTAGTGAAATATTTGGCCATGGTAAGGACCTAGTAGACATTAGTTATATTTTCACATATTTAGAAGCCCAGGCCACTGCAAATATGTTAATAATTAATATCAATTCTATTTTCTACATCTCTTAAGCTCCAAATTTTATGAGAATTTTCAAATATATATGTATATATTTTTACTGAATTGTCTTGTTCTGTTTCTTAATTTGTATTTGGAACAGATTTTTGTGCATGTAGTTCTGTTTTCTTACTAATATTGCATAGTCAGGGATGCAGTCTTATGAGCTACTGTATAATAATGAACAGCAGATGTTTTCAAAGTTAGCAGATACTGACAGCATACAAATGGCATTTTGAGGGCCAGAGGTATACAGCTCAGTGGTACAGTGCTTGCATAGCATGTACAAGGCCCTGAGTTTGATCTACAGCACCCCTTCATCCTGCCACCCCCGCCAAAGGGCTGTTCTTTGGAAGCCCTCAGACTTCAGAGCTTATGGAAGTTGAAAAAGAATGATGTTGAATATTTCCCCTCCCCTTAGTCTAAAGAAAACGATAGCGAGAACATAACAGGTGTTTAATAAACTGTTCTTTCATTGAGCAAACACTGTAGAATGTTTATGAAGACATGAGAGATGTGGACTCGCCCATAGTCATTTATAAGCAGAATAGCTCGTAACCCTGGTAGGGAAAAAGCCAGTTTCTTAAAATTACAGAATCAGCTCTTTAAAATTGCGTTCCTAAAAGGCATAAAAGCTTTTATGGGTAAGAAAGTGGGAGACCTTGGTGACAGCCATTGTTTCTGCAGGATATTTTGTTTTTTACTCCCAGTGTTGTTTCTAAATACTTCATCTTCTAGGCACAGATCATTATTGAAATATAGCACATTATTCAGAATTGAAGGTGCATACATTTACTATATTTATCTTGCATATCCTGTAGATATACATATATTTTTTTTCCATTGTCAATGTTCTGAAGTTCCTGACTGGCCCCTACGGGGCTGCATAGATGGCGACACAGTTTCAGCTGCCAGTCTTTAGTTCCAACCCCAGCAGACATTTCTCAATGTGGTTGACCATGGATGAGGGAATCGTGGTCCATATGTGTTTCATCTACCTTTGGGTGGCTGCCATCACATGGATTCCTGGCAAGTGAATAAGGTTCAGTTTAAAGACCGTTTTAATCAGACAGTAGAGGAAATGATGAATTCACTCCTGTCTTTGGTCAGTTTTGAGAGACATCAGTATTTTCCATAGTCTTTCCTCTCTACATATCTTGGGTACATGAAGCAACATTAGAAACACATTTGGAAGCCTGGAGCACTGGAAATGTGTTAAAAGTCTAAGGTTCTGCTGGGTGCAATGGCGTATACCTATAATCCTAGCAACTCAGAAGGCTGAGGCAGGAGGATCGCAAGTTCAAGGTCAGCCTTAGCAACTTAATGAGACTTTGTCTCAAAATAAAATAAAAAATAAATAGGACTGAGGATGTAACTGTGGTAGAGCTACCCTGATTTCAATCTTAGCACCAAAAATCAAACAAATTTCACCTCGAGCATTTATGTGTTCTGATTTAAGTGTCCTCTGATGTACTATTTATTTGCAAGAAGCACTCTAGGCTTTGATTAACTCTTTACCTTTGATATTTGGGCCACCTGCTGTATAAGATCATCTAAATGAATTTATCCATGAGATATTTCCTCTCCTTCACCTCCCACTAATACCATGGTGGTGGATTTGTTTAAAAAAAAAAAAGTGGTACCAAAATATTTAATGGTAAAATCAGATTCAATAAAAGCAGAGTGGAAAAAGGAAAACTAGTTGCTTCACTTTTAACACACATGTTTTCCATAGACACTGGCTTTCTTCTGTTTTCATAATTACAATTTCAGGCAGCGTCCCTCCACCCCAGGACGGTTATCACATTTGTGGGCTACCCATTTCCTGTGCATTTCCTTCCTCCAGCCCACCTCTTGGCCACATTAACATCACTCCCTGTCACAATCGATAGTACAGGTGGTCACAGTAGGTTTTGAAAAGAAAATGAAATGGAGACCTGTCAAGGTTGCTTTGTGTTAAATTAAAATATTTGGTGAGGAAAGGCCACACTCTTGGCCAGAGTCAGACTTCTGAAAAAAGTAGGTATTTCAGAAATTGACACCATTGTTTATGATCATTCTGTTAACAGAGCATTAGGGGGTGTCTCTGAAGAGGTGAAAGCAGTCAGTGTAATGGCAGCTTTGGGCTTGGAAGTAAAGTTGAGAATATGCCCTCTTTTCTGATCTGTAATTAACCAGTATTTTGAAAATCCTTGATTAGACTTAGTTTTATTCAGTCAGGGAGATAGAATTCACACACCATCAATAGTTCTTTGGAATTTAGCTAGAAGAAGTTGAATAGTGTAGAGCAGTGTGCATGCATGTATGTATGCATGGGCACACATGTGTGTTCCTAAGGTCAAAGAAGAGGAAAAGATAAAATAGCCAAAGAAGGCTTTGTGAAAGGAGGTGGGTCCAGAGTTGTGTCCAGAAAACTGGAGGAAGGAAGGGAAAGGAATTCAGATCAGTAAAGTAGATAGCAAAGCATATATGTACAGGGCTTCAGGTGTCAGGATCAGAAGTGAGGATGTAAGAAAACATGCCAATTTCCATAAAAATGTATGTCCTATTCCCTATGAAATTGATATACGTGGGTACCTGTTTTTGTAGAATGAATCTTTTATTCTATTCAAATGTATTAATAGCACAAATAAGACTCTGTCTTTTTAGTGAACAAAATCATGTCCAAGACCATTGGAGGCATCTGTCACTGGTTAGCATTCGATTTGCGGGGAAGAGGTTTGGAAAGAAAGGAGCTTCTCTTGGGGGTTTACCTAGAATCAAAGCCCAGTCATGGCCAACAAAGCCCTCAGTGATCCAGCCTTGCCTCCCTTTCTAGGCTGCATTCTTCTGTACTGTTCTTTCCAGAAATAATCACCTTGTTTCTCACCAAGCGCAAGATAACAGTTTTTCACTGCCTACAGGATGCCTGCCCCCAGGTTCTTGGGCAGACCACCTCTTTCTCATTAGTCTTGTCTCCGCTTGCATTTCACTTTCTCAGAGACTGAAGTCCTTTTTCTGACCATCCCACCTGAAGAAGTATACTGAGACCCCTAAGCATTCACCGTAATATCACCCTCTTTAAGTACGGAAAAACCAAGATCACTTATTTGCTCCTTTATTTTCTGTGTTCTCCCCTTTAGGCCAAGGACCTCAGTCAGGTACCTTGTTCAAAGCTGTACGGCCTGTAGTAGGCACTCAATAAAGTGTGTGTTAAATGAATCAGTGGCAGTCAGGTCTCTGTTGTGCTTACAGCATAGAAAGCTTGGCATTCTTTGCCATCCCTAAATGCTGAACTGTTTGTTACAGGAGGAAAGGAGTGAATAGCTACAGGCCTGGGGTGGCTGGTGTTGCCATGGCATCATAGAGCAGCACATTTCTTTTCCTTTTTTCCTCTCTGGAGCCTTAAGAACCTGGAAAGCAGCACCACTCAGAGGGGATATTTCAAAGAGATGGACTTTAAAGGAACAATGGTGTGGGTTGGACAGTTGCTAGTAAATCATATCAGGAAAAGCTGCTGGCTTAATTTCCTTTTCAGTATGGATGTACGTTGTAGCCATTGCAGAATGACGTTTCTGCACATAATGAACCAAGGTTCCATGTTTTACAGCCTGCTCCTTGAAAGCCTCACATGCATTTTCTTGTGTAGAGCACTTTTCTGGACTTTGCACTATTTTTTCCCCCTTCTTAAAAGTATTACTGTTTGAGTCTGTCTATCCCAATACATTATGGTAGAGCAGCCGTTGTTAATTTAGTGAAAGAAGTTTGGAAAACCTGTTATTTTTTTTCATTCATGGGTTTCTCATAGTAGCACATCTCTGGCTAACTGTACAAAAGACACCTGTGTGAGTTCCAGTGTGGCTGAATCGGCTCCTAGGTGCCTGGCTAAGTATGTTCTTCAGTTACCTGGTTTGGGTTTATAAATGAAATTTTACGATGACTATGACTCATTAATACATGCCAACAATAAATGATATCTTCCTTATGACGTTGTTGAGATGTACTTTATTTTTATATTTTTTCAAAGGATTTATGGTACCAGAACAGATCGCAGCTGGTGGCAGATTCTTACTTGCTTTTCCCACATCTCTCTTTCCCATCTTCCCCTGTTATTATACTGGGAGTCCTGCTTCTGTGCTACCAGGCAATCTACCATATTGCCATTAATTTAATGTGTTGTCTTAACAAATGGGTAATTCCCCTGTCTCTTCACTATTTAGTAATCTGCCATGTCTCTTTCTTTCTTCAGCACTGCAGTGACAACACACATCCCTGCCAATCAGATATGAATATTGAAGGAGCCTGGAAGAGAGGATACACAGGAAAGAACATTGTGGTGACCATCCTGGACGATGGCATTGAGAGAACTCATCCTGATCTGATGCAAAACTATGTGAGTGTTTGCTTCGGTCGGAAGTCTCCCCTCCTTGTTAGGAGGAGGACCCATGTTAGGATTATCAGAAAGGGGGATTGCTACTGAACAATGTAACAACAGATACAATAGGCTCTGTGTTTTACTTCTTTCTTGTAAAAAGTGAGCTCTTAAAGTACAGGAAGCGTGAGATAACAGTTTTTCACTTTTGGGTGCCCTTGATACTGTGACCTACAAAAAGAAAGTGATCAGGGAGCAGAAACTCCACCACCAACACCATCTGCTACCAGCAACACCTGCTCTTCTCAACCATTCAGCCAACCAGCCATCTTTTGTTTCTTTTATGGAAAAAAAAAAGTAGACTTAGAATTATTCTCAAGTTATTTTGCTGGTACCTTTCTTTCACTCCTCTACTGTTTTTTTCTTTTAAACTTTTTAGTTGTAAATGGACACAATACCTTTATTTTATTTATTTTTATGTGGTGCTACAAATCGAACCCATTGCCTCACAGGTGCTAGGCAAATACTCTACCACTGAGCCACAATCACAGCCCCTCTACCTCTCCTCTTTTAAGGATAGTAGTGATTAGCCTCCCAGTAAGTCTGTAGGAATCGTCAATCTCCCTTCTTAGGAAGGAACTGCAGATTCATTTAGTTCTCCTTTGAACAAAAAGAGATGAGTGACAGCAGGCTATCCTCACCCTGTATTCAAGCCACCTCCACAGCACAGAATTTTGAAGCTTAAGAGGAACTGCAGTTTAATCTCCTCATTTGATGGGTAAAGAAATTGAGGCATAAAGACTGAAGGGAGTAATCCAAGGTCAGATGTAGAATCAGAACTATGGCTGCCTATGCTTCAGCAGAGATGTCTTTCTCGTCACATGCACGGAGGATTTTGCTGTGTGCTGCTGTTCCCCCCTACAGACACCTACTTTGATTATATATGAAAAGCCTTCACTTAATGTGATTGCAATCTTTACCTTTTTTCTTATTTTCCCTCGAAAGAAAATTCTCTAAAATTACCTGTGTAATTAGCAGTGCTGGTTCCCTCTGAGTTCTTATGTTGGAGCTGGAGGGGAGTAGGGAAAACATACTAGAGGAAGTATAAGAAGACCTGGGTTCCAGTTTTTGTTTGGTTCATTCAAAAACAAGGTAGAAATTAACCTGTTTGAGTCCTCTGTTCTTATAACTAAAATTGTTATATTAGAGTCAGTGCAGAATCCTTTATGCTTTCATGGCCACAAAGAGCAGTTACAGGGCCCCCTTTGTACAGGAAGCAGAACCTTACCAGCTTTACATGTAATATATTTTCCTGAATTCCCTCAAACATTTCAAGTTCTGTGCACTAAAAGTTATTTCAGAAACATGAGCCTTTTGATAAATACAGAAAACAGAGATTTTGGAAACATTGAAATTGGGAATCATAAGGCATAAGGAAATTTCAAACGTTTTAAAGTAAGCTGTCTATGGTGGTATAAATTTGAACAATGATAATGATCCAGTAAATTCTTTATAGTATCTGGAAATTTTTCATGAGTATTTTTTTAAATATGTTTTTTGGATGTTGGTGGACCTTTGTTTTATTTATTTATTTATATGTGGTGCTGAGGATCGAACTCAGTGCCTCACACATGCTAGGCAAGTGTTCTATCATTGAGCCACAATCCCATCCCTTTCATAAGTATTTTTTAAAAAATATTTTTTAGCTATAGATGGATGCAAAATCTTTATTTTGTTTATTCATTTTTATGTGGTGCTGAGGATTGAACCCAGTGCCTCACATGTGCGAGGCAAGCACTCTGCCAATGAACCCCAACCCCAACCCCATCATAAGTATTTTTAAAAGCAAACAAATCTAACTTCGGTTTTGGAGGTTCTGTATCCTCATTTTGTAACCTCAGCATAAGAAAACTTTATTCATCATTTTGGTTAGTCCAAAAGCCCTTGAGTATTAGTAAAGTCTGAATTACAGGCTTCCTTTTCTATAGGAGATACAATATCTGAATGCAGACAAATGTTTAATAGGGGTCCCAAGGTACTTAATGGAATAAATAACTAATATTGATTTTTAGTTGGCTTGCCAATTATATATGAATAATTTTTGCCTTCTAAAATCCTTAATTATGATAAAGAAGTTAACAAGTTCAAAAATTCAAGTAAGGAATAAGGAGTGAATCTGGAGAATAAATCACTTTGCTTCCAGATATTTGAGTTGTACTTAGTGGAAAAGGACATGTTTGAAACACACACACATGTCATGACCTGGGTCATTCCAGGTGCACTGGGAACAGTGATGGCATAATGAAGCAGTTTCTCCTTGGTCTGTTTTGAACACTTCTTCACCATGAGGGGGAAAATGCAGCATTGATAATTACTAAACCAGCAGACCCTCCCTAAGGCATCCTGACACCAGTGAACCATGAGTTTTTAGTTAACCTAATTACTCTCTAGCAGAAATGTGTTTAAGATTGTGGGAGCCCGTAGGTCACTGGCTAATTAATGATTGTCCATTTCTTTTCTCTCGCTCTCTCCTCCATGGCCATAGGATGCTCTGGCAAGTTGTGATGTGAATGGGAATGACTTGGACCCAATGCCTCGTTACGACGCAAGCAATGAGAACAAGTAAGGCTCAAGTCAAGGGTGGTGGCAGGAGTTAGGTTTTCTGCTCATGCTAAGGGAAGTATGTTCTTGAAATGCTTGGTAACCAATGGGCCTAATTTACTGCAAAATGAAAAGGTGTCTTTTCAGCAAAGTTTCTGAGTAATAAAAAGGAGAGGTTCACAAATTAAGAAAGGTTGCAGAGAGAACCCTGGGGAATGGCTCAGCATTTCCATATCTTGAAAATTGAATTGGAGGACATCACCCTCACCGTCTTCACCCCATTTGTTTAAAGATAGTGGTACTAATGGGAGAGGCAAAAGTACCCCCAAAGAGAGTTATTTGATTCTCCTAAATTCAACAAATTTGATGGGCTACTACATTTGAGGCCACTATCGGGGGCTTTATTATTTTGTTTCTCCTTTGCTCTCTTCTCTGTGATTAGGTTTCCACTAATATATAGGAAACACTTAGAAGAATTGTTACCATCTGGGGAAGGCATTGCCTTTCTTATGTCCTTCCACAACCAAGAGGCCCATTTTCACTTTCCAGTTCCTATACTAGTTTTTAGTGAATGCAAATGAAATAGTGCATCCATTAGATGATAGATTATTTTAACATTCCTCAGTAAGTCAGTGTGAGTTGTTTTTCTTACTTTTAACGACCCAGATCCTTTTAGTTGGTATTTCTAATCAGTATATCACATTAATTAACGTTCCCCCCACTTTTACTGAAAAGCTCCTCTAGGATAATGCTGTGATTTAGATATTTTCATATGAACGTTTATTTACCTGTTTTAGGCTAGGATCACAAAAGTTGTAAGGAAAATGGTCCTGCTCATCTATTATGTGCTATTTGCAATCTCTCTCTCTCTCTCTCTCTTTTTTTCCTCTAGGGGAAACTTCTCAGCTAGTAGTATTTAAGTAAGTCAATAAATTTAGATAAAAGCATATGACCTAGAAAAATTGTGACTCTGCATGTGTTTTTTTCCCCATCTACAAAGAAGTCTTAACAAAGTAGCTGTAGAAATATGCTATTTGTTAATATTAACAACCAAGTTAATATGACTGTGGTGAAAGCTTTAATATACAAATTGATATAAACTTTTCCAGAACTTCCGAACAAAACAAGAAAGTGGCTAAATTAAACTGGATAGTTTCCTTTTAGACCTGATTGTTATTGTCTAGATTGTAATGTTGAGTGAATTTTACACAAGGGGTTAGAGTTTCAGACAACAAGAGCTGATGTTTTTTGTCCTAATTTATAAACTAGCATGAAACAATGAAAAAGAGACTTGAATCACTCAGTACTTAAAAAGGCACTAATGGTTTGCATGTGTGGGAATATGGAAAATATCTGCCTTCCTCTCAGTTTTGCTGTGAATCTAAAACTTTTCAAAAAATAGTCTTAATAAAAAAAAACTCTGATAAATTTCAATATATAGTTTGTTCTTCTGTCATGCTACATATGCATTCCTGATATGCACTCCTAAAAACAATAGCACTCTGCCAAATCCTAAAACACAGAGTGATGAAAACATTGAGTTGGAGTCTAATACTCAAACATCATCAGTCTCTGTCTCTGTCTCTGTCTCTCTTTCTGTCTCTCTCTCTCTCTCACACACACACACACACACACACACGATAGGGATCTAATAAAATGGTAGTTAAGAAATAATTAAAACTACTTTAAAAGTGGCACTTAACCATGATCAAGAACTTGACGTGTGCCTATAGAAGTGTATGCTCATTATATCTACTCTCATTTGCTTTCTACCCTGTGTACAAGAGAAAAAGAGTAAGAGAAGAAGAGATCAATGTGAAAACCAAGAATAAAAGACATAGAATAATCAGGAAAAATATACAACAGGCAGAGAGAAAGAGGTTAAAGTTAAGCAGAATGGAGGGCGATGTCTCCCACCCCAGGATGGCCCTTGTCAGAAGAATGGCAGCTTGCCAGTTATTGTAGGGAGGAGTGGGAGGAGGGTTATCAGAGAACACACAGAAGTTGCAGTACCAGATGTGGCTAAGTATGGACTGCTGTGCCTCTAAGACGCATGGCTCTTTGTGTTTTATGTACTCCTATGAGGTTCGGTTCATCTGGGCGTGTTTTCTGCATTCACCTAGAGTTTCTGTGACAAAATCCTATCTAAACAAATTCAGATTTCACATATGCTCAGAATATTCCCTTATATATCAATCATGTTGGATAAAATTGGTGTTTTAAGGCATATATTATAGCAGAACTGTTATATCCATTCACTAAATTTATCACATTAATAATTGTATGGTCAAAAGAGAAGCAGGAAAACTATAAGAAAGTCTAGATCATATTAACACCTAAAGTAATTCTTGTGCAGAATATAAAGGAACAGGTAGAAACCTAAGACCAATGTGCTAATCCCTGTAACTAGTTGTATGTATCTAAACCCGTGTGTGGTGGTTTTGCTTTGAAATTCTCACTGGGGGTGGCAACTGTTCTCTGAGGGTGTGTCTGCTCTGGCTAACCTCCCTAACCATGATGTCTATGCATAGACATTCTTTGAGGACCAACTTTCATGGCTTTTTACACACTACTCTTTTACAACCTTGTTCTTTGTAAGGATTCCTTTAAAACTTGGCCACTCCCCAAGACTTTTGTTTTAAGACTTTTGTTCATGAAGAATCCCTGAGGTCACGCTCTCTCTAGGGTGTTCTAGTGTGTCCTGTTTTGACCCATTCTAAGCACTCTTCATGGTTCATTGAGTGCAGTGGGAGTTTGCTGGAGGACCCCAGCATTGTTCCAGATGTGTGCTTAGGTTTGTAGTCTTGACAGTGAAATATGGCATTTTCGAACCAGCATTCCATACCTCTGTTTTATGGAAGTTAGCTGTCTCCTGATGTCCTTTAGCTCCTCTCAGTAGCTCTGTTTTGTTGTTGTTGTTGTTGTTTGTTTGTTTGTTTGTTTTTTAATCTTGACTGACCAAAAGCATGTATTCAGGCATTTGTGGTTAAAATATCCTCTCTACCTTTGAGGCCATATTGATAGACATGATTGATAGATCTGACTTCAAGCGTGGATCCATAAATGGATAATTCTGTTTGGATAGAACTCACATAGCATTAGGAATTAAGAGTGGGTTTGTAATTTGGAAGAATTGACTTTTAGCCCTGGATCTCCTGGAGTGATTTGCTTTATCATTCTTTGAGTCTAATTACTCTGGGCTTTGGTATTTTTTTTAATCCCTAAAATGATATAAAAATACTTACATCTAAAGAATAACAATAAAATGTGTAGAACCCCAAGCTGAGTACATAATAAGTAGTAGATAATTATAACTGTTATCATTGTAATTATGTGTTCTACTCATATATCTAATTCTTTATAATCAGTTAAAAATTATAATTATCTCAAAATATGTGTGCATATGAACATTTCAAATCTAAATTAAGACTTGGAAATCTTTTTCTTCTAGGGTTAGAAGTTTAGATTTTTCTGTTTAAGGGCTGGAAGGTGTGACTCACTCAGTCCGCAGTCTGTTTTTTCCCACCTACCTCCATGAAGTATGAGGGCTTAAATTGGAAATAAGATGGTGAATGTGAGAAATCTCTAGTCATCATTGGAATCAGGAAGTTGAGGCATATGATATGCAAATGTCTGCACATTGCTCAATCAGAAGAGTGGCTTCAGAGCATGTTTGGAATCTTCATGCTTGGATGTATTTGTTCATCCATTCAACAAGTATTCATTGATACCTTGCTGTGTGAAGTGGTTCTGTGCCAAGTGCTTGGGTTGAACTTGGAGATGACAGTAAGAAACTCTAATGCCTGAAGGATTTTCAGGGCTAATGGAGCATATATAGTATACCTTCAAAACCTCATGCAAATGATGTCTGTTAGTCTCCTGTGATTACATTTCTGGTGCCAAAGCTTTGGAGTGATGGAAACACCTCTGAAGTATAAAAGTTGTTATAAAATTTTTTTACTTGTCACTTTTTGAAGTCTCAATAACTTGAGGTATATCAAACCCCAATAACTGATGCTAAAGAAATAACACTAGGAGAAGAGACCATAATACCTTGTCTTTAGAGTTAGCTTTGCCTTTATTCATATCAGCTTTGCATTCTTATGGGCTTAAAATAAAAAAAATACCTCTCTACAAACAAAACAGTCTCCTGGCATCTCATACCACTACTCTATTTCTGATAAATGAATTATTGATGTCTGAGTTAGATCAGTCCTTCCCTGGGTTGCTCCCTGTTAAATGTTCTCTCTGATTAAGCCATAGAAACATATTTGATAGGAGATGAAACCACTGCATTATATTTAGGATGTGTGGTGTGTAGCTCCAGAATCTAATTCCTTTTCAAAATAAACCAACCTCTAGGTTAAAGGCTCATTTTCTAAAAGGAATGGCTTTTTTTCTTTTGTTTCTTATCTCTATTTTCAAGGAAGATTTAACCAGGGTAGATGGAAATACATTTTCGCTTTTTTTTTTTTTAATCTTTCACACATCATTTCTGGTTTTTAGAATGTCGTCATGTTGCAGAAACTATTATGTGCATGGCCTTCTCTTTCTTATTTTTGCAGATGACAGTTTTTCCAGAGATTGTGTTCCAAAGCACAGCCAACGAATGTAGCCAGTATTTTCTGATTATAAGGGAAATATCCTAACTTAGTACTAGGGGGAAAAAAAAACTCAAACCATATTATCTATGATCTTAACAGGTATACAGAGTTATTTTTCATAACTCAGGATTTGACTAAATAGATTAAGATAAAGTTATCTTATAGCATAGTAGGACAGATAAAGCCTATCAAAGAAAAGTAGGGTCATTATCAAAATTTGATTTATTTTTCCAAATATCTTCAAAAACTTTTTCCTGAATACTTCTGCAAGATAACATCTCCAATATCTAGACTATATAGTAGTTACATTTTATGTAACATTGATTATAAATATATTATTGGAAGATTAGCATTTTCAAATAAGGCAAATGTGAAAATTATCTTCCACTTTTTGTACACAACAGTTAGTTCCAGCTA